ATATCCCTACTACATACTCGTATGAGCTACCCACAAATACTGCTTTTGTCCTATATCCCTACTACATTCTCGTATGAGCTACCCACAACTACGACTTTTGTCCTAAATCCCTACTACAGACTCGCATGAGCTACCCAGAAATACGACTTTTGCCCTAAATCCCTACTACATACTCGTATGAGCTACCCACAAATACGACTTTTGTCCTAAATCCGACTCTCCTGTCTGTGTACCACAGGATTGCTGATATTGGGCAGTGAGACTTCAATCCCCAAACCAACGAACAAGCGAAAACCCTTGGCACGGGGCCGACTGAAAACTACCTACAAGAAAATGCGCGCCTTACAGCCCCCACCCAAAGAAGACTTTGTATTCGCTAAACCCGCATCTGTATCCACCAAGGTGGGTAGCGACCCGCCAAGCACACCTGCACCTGTTTTAAGGACCGGTACCGAACTGCCTGGAAGTAGGTCAGGTGACAGCGAGGCATTCACAGTGAAGTCGGTCAAGGTGGAGGAGCTGCCCAGCGACACGGAGAGCACTGGTGACTTAAAGAAGGAGAGGCCCGCGCCTGCAGATACAACGGCAGGTGTGAAGTTTGCAGGATTCAAGGGATTCTCAGCCACCCCAGCCAAACCCAATGCTGATGACAAGGAACGCACATCCACATCCAACGGCAAGGTGGCAACGAATAGTTTGGCTCTTCCTGTGGGTATAAGCTTTGGAGGAGGCGTGAGTGGCTTACCCAAAAACGGTACTGCCGATCACAAGTCCGAAACGGAGAGCACCGAGAAATCTTTTGCGTCAAAGTTCCCGAACCTTCCCGCGCCCGCATTCGGGAAACCCTCACCAAGCACAAGCGATACAAAGGACCAGGCCAAAGATAAAAACACCAGCGCAACCGGATTCAGCATAACAGGCAATGGCGCTGGTACAGGCTCTCCACCTGTTAAGTTCGCCGGCTTCACAAGCAGCAAGCTTTCACATACCTCAAAGCCCGCTGCGACTGCTGCGCCTGCTAACCCCTTGCCTGGGGATGGTAAGGCTGCGAAGGACCTTTTTGCTTGCTTTAAAGGCTTCGGCTCTGCGGCTCCAGCCCAGCCCAGTGTAAATGGAACGGGGGCAGACCCAAAAGATACAGGTGCATGTGCAGACACGAGTACGACCAAACCGAGTTACACGTTCAACATACCGCCCGAGCCAAGTGCAACAAGCTCTTCGTTCGACATAAGCAAGCTGGGCAAAATCCCGTTCGGATCAACGTCAACGGACCAAAAAGGCACCGCCGATGGACCCACAACCAGTGCAACAGCCCTACCCTCAGCTGCGGGTGCAGGTGCAGGATCTGAACCCTCCAAGAAACCTCTATTCGCTGGTTTTGGCTCTGTTATAAGTGATGCGGGTGCAGCACAGGCGCCAAACGACAGTGACAGTGGTACCGAAGCCGGAAGACTGTTCGGGGGCCCAGCCAGTACAATGTCTGGTGCACCTCCCATGTTTGGCTCTACAGCAACCACTGAGAATGCAGGGAAGAAGTCCACTGAGCAGTCAACCCCGTCGTTCACCTTCGGGGGCAGCAACCCGGCCCAGAGCGCAACAGCTAATGCCGGCGGAGCGACCACCTTTACCTTCGGATCCAATAAGAACTCGCCAGTCCTACCTACCGTGACCTTCGGAGGCACTACGGAACCCGCATCCACGTCCAGCGGCAGCCAACTCAAGCCGGGAGTGTCATTTGCGGGTACTGGTGCAAGTGCAACTGCCGGTGCAGGCCTGACGCCCAGCTCGGCGCTACCCGGAAACCCGCCCACAAGCACAAGCCCCATATTTGGCAATGCATCCGGCCCAAACCTATTCGGCGGGTCGAGTGGACCGTCGCCCTCATTCAGCACGGCCACCGCAGGAGCTTCGCCGAGCCTCGGCTTCGGCAGCACCGCCAGTACCACCAACACTGCACCCCCTGCGACAAATGCGAGTACGGCCATTGGTGCATTTGGGTCCGTAGGCACATTTGGGTCAAACAACTCTAACCTGTCGTCTGCCACGACAGGTGCGCCCGTGTTCGGTTCGGGTGGCACTTCGCTTGCTTTCACCGCCGCAAACACTGAGCCACCCGCCAGTGGCTTCGGAGCGTCGCAGTCACAGGCGTCTGGGGCTGGGGACAAAACCTTACCTGTTCCTGCATTTGGGTCCACCTCTACCAACACGCCTGCGTTCGGCTCTACAGCTGCTGCACCTGCGTTCGGCTCTACAGCTGCTGCACCTGCGTTCGGGTCTAACACACCTGCACCTGGTTTTGGGACCGCTACACCTGCACCTGCATTTGGGGCAGCTACTACTGCACCGGCGTTTGGGCCGTCCTCCACTTCACCTGCGTTCGGGTCCACAGCCGCGCCCAACCTGACGTTTGGTACCACGACCTCAGGTGGCTTTGGGTCTTCCACAGCATCGCCTGCGTTTGGATCGAGCACTTCAACAGCTCCTGCGTTTGGCGCGAATGCTACCACCAGGGCGACACCTGCGTTCGGTGCAACTGCTGCACCTGCGCCCGCCTTTGGGACAAGCGCCGCAACCGGGTTTGGCGCTAGTACTGCACCTGCACCCTCATTTGGGGCTACAAATGCACCTGGTTTCGGTACCAGCGCATCCCCTGCGTTTGGTAATACGCCTGCGACAGGCTTCGGCGCAGCAGCCGCGCCTGTATCAAGCTTTGGTTCAACTGTCGGTCCCGTAACCGGGAGTACAGGTGCAGGAGGCTTTGGGGGTTTTGGGTCAAGCGCAACTGCACAACCAGCGGCACCGGCACCGGCACCGGCTTCTGCGGGCTTCAACTTTGGAGCTGTACAGCCGGATAAACCAGCAGCCTTTGCGTTTGGCGGCTCCACACCTGGAGGTTCGACTACGGGCACGGGGCAGCCTTTCACATTTGGAGGAGGGTCTACAAGTGGGTCTGCAGGAGCCGCACCGGCCGCACCGGCAGGTACGTTCGCCTTTGGAAGTCAACCCGCTGCACAGACGGCACCGGGTATGGCATTCGGTGGACCATATGGGAACACACAGGGAGGTATGCCGCCAGCTAACAGACCCATGGCACGTGCAAGGAAGACGAAGAATAGACCAGTATAATTACTTTACCTGTAAACATATGCCTCTGGTGATGGTTGGTCTTGACTGCCTTTCGGTGTGCATGAGTTTGGTCATATTTGATTCAGAATTGGCGAGGTTCTTCTCTCGTACACTCGGATATAGAAATCACCCGGTTGAGCTGGGCAGATGTCTCGGTGGAAACTGAAATGCAACACTGAGTAGTGGGATACTCAAAATTGGAATGTATAGATTCGTCTAGTGGAGCCACAAATCGTTTCGAAAAATAAATTCTTTATTTTAGTTTCAGGGCATCTCATTCCCACCGGAAGGAATGTGGTATCCAAGAGACCTAAGAACAGGCATCCTCGTGACAGACAAAGACGGGCCTCTCATAATTGGAGAACTGGATTTGGAGTACACATGTTTCGGTCTGCGTTGGCCAGAGGGGTACGGATGCTATCAACTGTTTTAGACTGTAATAGGGCACAAACCTCTTTCAAGGCCGAGGAAAACATTATGCCATTTTTAATGTTGTGATTGATTTCGAACATGCTGATACACGTATGATGAATGTTTTTCAAGTGGTAAGAATGCGTGGGAAATACAAAACAAATAATGTAAACATTTACGAGTACAGCCATAGCCTCTGAATCAGGCATAGTAAGACTATGGTCCAGCGGTAGTGATGTCACCTGGACCTCCACTAAGAGGACTGGCTGTCCTCTGATGTGGACTCGAGACCAGGTGATAGGTCCTCTCTCTAAAGAGGATGGGGCTGCGGGTTGTGAGACTTTGGACAGACCTGTGAACTATATACGTAGTTTCTGGAGCGGACGGGAGTCAGGACTCTCGCAAGGCAGTAAACACGACCTCACGGGAGTGATGTACGGGACACGTGAGCTATAGGCAGGCCTTAGGGTTTAGACCCGTAACACGTAGGTCGTAGAGAGCTCGTCTGCACTAGTAGACCCCCTGAGAGATGATGAGTCTTGGCCCTTCTGATACTACTCTCTACACGCACACTTTAGGACTCTCTCTCTCCCTATAGTGAGAGGGAGTATAGAAAAAAGTCCCGGTAAGTTATATGTAGCAATCATCTCTTGTAACCCATAATTTAAACCAATACCATAGCCTTCTTGTATATTTCAGAAGGCTATGTCAATACATAGTAAACTCACAAGTGTGCAGCGACAGCAGCAATCTATTGTACAACAAGTCGTTATTATTTCAGGAATAAGGCATATTTGAGGCAAAATCTATAGATAAATCGTTGTTTTTGTGGTTTTTGTACTGTAGTCAATAAAAAAGATGTATTGCGTGTGAATTTGGTATTTTTATCATAAATAAAAAATATAAACAGATGAACGCGTTTCAAGTTTGCCGTTTGGCCGTTTGTATTTTTTTATTCAAAAAAGGATATGTTCTTTTATTTTCGGAAACAAAAAACACCGCTAAAATGTTCCAGTTATGAGGCTAACGAGGAACCCAAGAGCCCTATCGTCATCAACAGACGCACTCTTCCTTCTATTTTTAGAATTTTCGTTTTTACTCTTGTGCATTGGAACAAATCTGATTCGTACAGAACTCGTTAAATAGCTGTAACATTCTTCAATTTTTATTTTTCTACAAATACTATTTGTTTTAAAACAAATAGACTAATAGAGAGCGAGACTTTCATGATTTGATTTTAGATGGACGATAAACTATCGAAAACGGATGGAGAAGGATGAGTTTCTTTACGACGTAACAAGTATTGAAGTTTGCGGACAACAGCCGACGGAACGTCACAACTGACAAGTGACAACTCCCAAGTCACAGCTCACAAGGTGACAAGTCATAACTCTGACAAGTCACAACTCACACCAAGTCACAGCTGAGAAATAGTGAGAACTGAGAACTTATACATACTATTTTGAATTTCTAACAAAACTCACAATTGTCAATTCATCATTCACAACAACTCAAAACTCGCAATTTAAAACTCGCAACTCACAACTCACAAGTCATCACAAGAGTCAACTCACATAATCATATTGTCACAACTGTGAACTATATACAAAACTCAAAGAGTCGCAAGCAAATATTTAATAATAATAATATATATATATATAATATTGGTCTGTCACAACTCGCAACTCGCAACTCGCAACTCGCAACTCGCAAGTCGACAACTCACAACTCGCAACTCGACAACTCAGTTGTGAACTCACAACTCAGAAGTTCGGATACAAGAAGCTGCAGTGCTACATAGTACATACAAGAGTGCAGCACACGGCAGACTGCACAGCCTGGCAGGAATCTGCACAGCCTCGCAGGATACACAGCCACAGTGACAGAGAGTGTACTCCTGGACCTGAGAAGTGAAGACCCTACCCTGACCGGGCCACACTAAGTGTATGTAAGGCTTGAGGTTTGACTCCTGACTCCTGAGCCCCGGGTTCCAAGTTCCGACTTCCGAATTCCGACGATAATAAACACTCCTGAATCCAAAGTTCCAGATTAATATCTCTGGCATTTGATCGATTTTAAAATCGAAATTTTGCAATTAATTTAAACAAATATCTGTCGTGTTCCGAGTTAACTGACACACTTACCGACTACAGTCTCACACAGTAAATAGACTGTGGTCAGTTTTGTTTTTTTGTAATTGTTAGTTCGTGAGGTTTCATGTTTGAAATATTTTGAAATCGCTTTTACATACTAAATAAAAGTACCTTTGTGCGTCTTTCAGACATACTGCGAGGTTTGCTTTCACACACACGCTCTGTGTTGCTTTTCTAATGAAGGAGAGGATTGACTGTGGAATTGCACAATTGGCATATGCGGTCGTTTTAGCTTGCAATCACATAATTATGCCGATAATTGTATTTCATGCTCATTTAATGCCGATAAGTATATTTCATGCCTATTATGCTGAAATTTTGTTTCAAGCACTATACTCGTAGTCAGGGGAGACACCATTTGTAAGCATCGTCACTTGTCAGATGTAATGTCGCGTCTACTTGGGAATGTTCGCTGCCGCCTATGTACCATAAGTCGACTGACCGTATTTGGAACCTCCCATTTGCAATTATACTAGATTCCATCGACTAGTCGAAACCTCGAACGGTTTGCCATGGACCTTTTGTAATTCAAGTATACGAGTGCTCTTGTAGATAGGGCTGCTTGAAATGTCATAAATGCAGTGCGCATGATATTAGTTCATATTATGGGTGCGTGTTTGGTCTGGTGTTCGGACCCTCATTTCCCTCGCATACCTTAACAGAAACAATAAGCTGGAAATTATTGCGTATTCTTTTATGAATTTTCCGGAGTATTTGGTGAGTCCTAGCAACATTTCATTTTAAACAGTGTCAGACTCGGGCCAGTGCTTTATCTGTTCGTAGCGTTTGGGATCAACCAATGCCCCTTCTGTAATTACAAGTGACTTAGAAGTGCTTTTGAGCTACAATTTTGCCTTATAATATCATACCATATTTGTTTTTTAGGTAGTGCTGCAAAGACGTGTTCGAGATTGAGTATTAGTTCATTAATCTTCCAAAAACAGGACCCTGAAATTCGTGAAGACATGGTCGATATTAATCGTTCGCAACGAGTCAGATTTGGAATAGTCAGTTACCCGTCTAAATTTGAAATGATCGAAAACTTTTCTGGGGCTGAATCCGAATGTTCCAGAGATGACTTTTTCAACATATTTGGATGCCATGGTTTCAAAGCTTTCTCTTGTATTTTACATTCAGATACTGCTCTATATGTTTTTGATTGTCTAGGTGCTTGATATTCACTTGATCGGGTTATGGTCATTGGTCAAAGACCATTTTATGGCATGTTTCAGAATATGTTTAAGTCCTACGGACGTTAGTCCGTTCAGCCATTTTTCTTTTTTCTCTCTTTAGAGGGTCATGAATGATTTAAATGATCAGGTCTCCAATTAATATTTTGTTTGCATTCGATTACTGATCAACTTAATACATTGAAGTGGCTCAGAACATCGGCTGGGACTGCTGATATAATTTTGGAGTAAATATATGGGTGTCTTCGCATGCAGTATAAATTTTCCAAACATATACTCTATGATGCCAATAGGAGTATTATGTAGTTTAATAGTTGACCTTGGTGATCGTCATCACCGTTCAGCATGTACCATTGTCCCGGATATCTTTCCAGTCTGTACCCAGTAAAATTGGACAGTTGAATTCGGACATTTTGTACTTCGTGCGATATGTGTGCGTAAGTATTGTTCCCCACTAGAAAGTCATTTCGACTGTAACTATGAATCGTATGAGGTCGAATTCTCATCTATTCGATACACGAAAGAAAAAGAAGCATGTTGCTTCCCTGACATTTCAGTGTTGAGATGCATCAGTCATATTAGTATTTTCTAACAAAAAATGATTCAGGAATAGAGTCATATCTTCTCCAGAAAGTAGTGCGTGTTCTATTTCTGTCTCAATGAAGTATGATTCGACGTGGATGCGGGTCACATAATTTGTGACACTGTAGCCAGTATAATACCATTTGGTCTATATAAATTCCACATTTGGAGTGTGTCCATATTTCCCATCACAACGAGAGCACGTAAATTTTGGGTTGTCAGTTGGAGGATATGTTATAAATGGTAGCATAGGCGTGAACATTTGCGCTAAATCGCACATGTCACATGTTCCTGTCTTGGATCTTCGTTCCATTATTTCGGTCAAAGGCAAAGCGCGAATGCCTTCGCACGACCCTGCTTGAATACAGAATGGGTTACGCCAAAAAACTAGATCTTAGTTTCCATGGTCTGCAGCAAAGCTGCCTGTATGTATGACGCAGCTTTTTGTATATTTTTTGTACCACTCAATGATGATACTTCCTAGAGTATTTACGACAGTCATTCCTTTAGAAACCCCCGTCGTGAAACGTACACGAACAATGGATATGAGTTTACACATCTTGTTCGCACCAACACAAGTGGCGCGGCCTTACAACTCTTGGCATAGCTTCGCTGCCTGAAGTTTCGAGAAGTATATTGATGATAACTTACTGGGGGTTAAGATTCCACAAGAAGTCCGATATAATCAAAATCTTCAACTGCGTCTGCAATTGAACACAGAAAGAAGCACTGGGAAATCCCAGACAGCGCAGTTCTTTTGTCGACTAAATTTGAATCTGTCGGACTTGTTGAACAACTGACACAATCATCCCAACAGATGCTCAAGATAGATACTAAACAATTACAAATACTTCTTTGGCTCCCACGAGGCAATGAGACATACATCACGAGGCAATGCGACAAACAAATGAACACAATTCATAATTAGGAGGACAACATGAAGAATTAATAATTGGCAAACAAATGAACACAATGCATAATACACGAGATAAAGACCTAGAAAGTATTGGTGTTCTTTTGAGAAGGCTAGGAGGTCAACATGAAGAACTAATAATTGACAAACAAATGAACACAATTCATAATACATGAGACAAAGACATAGAAAGTATTGGTGTTTGCATTGAAAAAGCTCTCGCAAATCGCAAACGGACAGGGTTCAGGGTTTATCCACTTTCCTTTCTCCAGAAAACTAGACTTTGCGTTACAGAGCCACCTGGCGGATTAAGGTTCGGAGGTTCAGACAATTTTGTGTCTGGTGATGATACTGATACGAAGCAACATCGGCATTTCGCATTATATTTATATTTTCGTTACTAATTTAGTTCCCGTTGAGACTTTTCACATGCGCAAACCTGTATTTCGGGTGGGTTGTCAGTAAACAATCAAACTATACCACTGAAGTTTAATCGCTCATCAACTGAATTGTGCGAAACCAAACGTCACTTCAAAGGTCCATGAGGATATTAATCAGCAGCGGTATCCTCGATCTAAAAGTAGCGCCAATACACGAACATGCATTGCTGCACAATCCGCTACACTACAATGGAGGATACGGACACAACCAAATGAAATAAGGCCATATGCTTTGGAGTAGGTTTAATTTCAACCAATAAAATAAGGCCATATGCTTTGGAGTAGGTTTAATTCGGTGTGCTTAGTGCTATTCTTGGCCAAACCCTTCCGTTTCTTCTATGGCGATGGTGATTTTGTCACACAACTGCTGGTAGCTCTTGTACGGCGGCAAGTCTAATCGGTTGAAGCTGTGCCAGGATGAGAAAGAGAACCTCTCAACAGTTGTCCGAAGGTAGTGGTGCTTAGCCGGTCTACCCCACACAAAAGGTGTAGTAACAATCAAGGGCTACAAACGCACTCTATTTAACTGTGCTACCCCACACAACAGGTGTAGTAACAATCAAGGACTACAAACTCCATTTAACTGTGCTATGTACTGAATTGCAAGCACAGGAGAGCGAAATGATTGGACTCGGACAAGAAAGATACATCAATTGAACAAGCGTTGAGACAAACCAAGCTGTGGATAGGTTATATATATATATATTAATATTAATAATAATATTATAATAATATAATAATATAATAATATATATATAAAAATAATATAATGATAATAATAGTAATAATAATAATAATAATAATAATATACGTATACATACATACATACATATATACATATATATATATATATATAATGTATATATACATCCCACAGCCAAATAAAAAAACACTCACCAAGTATGGGCGCGTGGGAGCCATCCCTCCGTGCCCACTTTCTCAATACAAAACAGTTGTAGGTCGTTGCTGCCCTGAAGTCCTTTGAAGCCGTCCATAGGCACACGGCACGTTCCTGTCACAAACTGCAGCACCCGCGCCCGTGTTTCGCTACCCGAAGCTCGCACAAACTGTGGTGTGTGAGATGTGATGCGAATGTGAGTGTGGCGTTGCAATGTGGTGAATGGCTTGGGGATAGGTATTGGTGCAGTTGAAGCGTACGGACGAACATACTTACGGTGGAGGATGTAAGCATGTTAAAATGTTGTGACTGTACCATAGCAGGTATAAAGATACTTATATGCACGAATGTCCTTGTTTGCGTATCATATCCAATACGCATTCATCTGCATACGTATACGTATTCCCATACATAAACCTACATGCCCCAGATATCCTATTTGTCACATTTCATGTGCCTTGGTCATATAGTATGTGAGTACAAGTACTGTGAGCTCCAACCTACCTGCCAGAACCATCGGACCTGTTTGGCGTTGGGGGTGAAGGAGCGGTAGATTGTGTTGCGTTCCCAGTCATCGACATCGATTTCTTGCACCCCGCAGATCAGGTACTACAGACATTGGGAGGTCGAGATGGCAAGGAGGTGGTAGTAAGGTTAATACAAGTGTGTGATATGAGGCTATTACAGTATGTACTATAGGGATGATAAAAGTGTGTTATAAGGATATTGCAAGTGTGCTACAAGGATATGATAAGTTTGTTATGAGGTTATTACAAGTGTGCTATGAGGTTATTACAAGTGCGTGTATAGAGTGTTGAGAGAAGTGAATGTACACGCAGCCATGAGTTATTGCATACACATCTTTTGGAAAGAGATGTGTAATCGAGGCTGTGTGAAGGTGTAGAGACAGCCGATATCAACAGGTGCACACACACAAACAACACACAAAGCCAGAGTGGTAGTTCGCAAATCCACACGTACACAGGCGTGGAATATGCACAAACGTATGACTGGATGTATCCTTACATGAATCGTGCTCAATGCAACTAACTATATATATATATATATATATATATATATATATATATATATATATATATATATATATATATATATATACTATATACTATATATATATATACTACAC